GTAGGTTCGCAGTGTGTACAACTGCTAGTCAATTATTAGCGCTGTTGCCACATCTACATAGTCTCTATGCGTCCATTAAATATAATTTAAAACTACTTAAATATGATATTTTTATGTTGTTAATTAGTCAATATGTATGCTATGTGCATGTGAGTAGATTTCTTTGCTATATAGATAATGTTTATCGCAAATAATTTCAATAGAATTTAATTTTTTCAAATTGGCGCACCTCACTTCCCTCTGTATACCCCGATATACCTCCGTGATATGTATGAAATTCGAAATTTTAAGGTAAACAATGTAATTATTCCCATGAGCATAGTTGTGATTTACGACCTCGACCCTCGACCTCCCCTTTGTCTCTTTGGAAGAAACGAATTTTTAATCTTCCTCGCAAACCGAAATATTTCAGCTATTAGTTTATTTTGTCGAGATAAAATTTTAAGCAAATAACGCTGTAAAAACTAAAGAGATAGTATTTTTTGATTCCGCAAGGCCTATGTCAATAAAAAATAAATATAACTATACATTTTTTCATGGAACTACGTATATCTTTATTTACACATTTTTATTTTCTTTAATCTTTTAGTAATTACAATTATGACTGTAATAAATAATGTACGTACAATCCATATACAGGGTGTCATGATGTATCTGCGGAACCAAACACTACATGCTTTTCTTAAAATCGGTTTAGTACACTTTAAAGTCTCTACGGCTCGAATTTCATTAATTTATGGATTTTTTTATCTAGTTGTCCTTAAGAAATATACCTGTTAAATAAAGGGATGCCCCATTTATATAAAGAAGAGCACTTTAATTACGAATTGCAAATTTTTTATCGATTCGTAATAGGGCTATGGATGGAATGCACTTGCCTGCTCTGTGTCGGTAAAGTTATGAAACACTGTATAATTCTACAATCATCTGTCTCTTTGTTTAAAGTAAAAGGAAATATATACAGGTTGATTAATTAATAATGGTACATAACTATAAACCGTACCTTATTTATTTAGAATTGAACTCGACTTAATAATTTCTTGCCGGAAACTCAGATTTTCGACGGGCTAAAAGGTTTTTACACTAACAGGAGAATGCAACTACCGCCCCCTAGAAGTGACTGCACAGAGTTACCATGCCACTTTAAAAATCAAATTTTCAAGACAATTTGTACAAAGATACTCAAAATATTACAGAAAGTCGAAAATATTCATTTGACTAATATCCTTTAAAACCAAAACGCAGTAATATCCAAATAAAACGATTAGGTTCAATTATTAAAATTTCTTTAACGTCCTTGGACTATTATTAATTAATCACAATGTTGTATTCCTATTTAAAAGTCTTTATACACATTTTTCACAACATATTACATTATTAAAACGCCGAATAAAAATTAAATTTCTTAACAGTTACACTACTAAGAACTTGAAATATGGGATTCGAATAGGGTGCCTTGGAAAACAATTTTTCGAAGAACAATCGACTTACAACAGCCTCTGCAATCCTTGATCGGAAGGGTTGGATATCCGTACGCACCACTATCACAAGCCTTAGAAGCAGCGACGGGCAACCACGACTAGAGGGTGAAACTCGAGCAGCAAAATTTATAGAAATAGTCTCCCCACCTGCCACGCTGATAAAATTAATCCCACGTTATTCGTTATTCTACGTGTGCTTCCATGAACGACGTCTTCCAGCAGCGGTGGAATCGTTTTTCGACTTGTTTATTTGATGGTGTCTTAGGTCCCATTTGGATTTCCGAGTAAAAAACGCGTTTTTGTAGGGTTCAGGTTTGGTTGTTTTGGAGGTCAACTGAGAGAAAGTGCAACAATTTAGTTAAATCTACCGAGTCGGCATGGAAAAACGTTTTTTTTTGTTTCGTTTTGTTCAGAAACCATATTTATGGACAGTTTTTGGCGAAGTAACGAATAATATTTATTACATTTTAAATCAAATGTAATTATGTATATTAAATAAAAGCAAAGAAAGGTGAAAAAAGCAAAAATTAAAGAAGCAGGTTTATTACTCTATAGGATGAAAAAAAATTTGCGTTATTTTTCTCACAATTTCGCGTTAAATACTCATCAAATAATCGAAAAGGATAAATTGAAATGTTGAAAAAAAAATCAATTTTGAAAAGAAAATCAAATTTTTCAAAATATAAAAAGAAATTTTTGAGTCCACATTTTTTGCAATTTTACATTGAATATTTCAAATGTCGAAAAAAAAATTTGTTTAAATTAAAAGTTGAAAAACTAATGTTTTATAGTCTGTTTAGAAATGAAAGAGAGTAATAAAAGCTCATTATGTATGCAAATCGTAAATAAATGTAGTACTGGTGCTTATATTCAATATTTTTCTCGGTCCATTTCTCTTATAAGTAAACAATATAAAAACAGCATTTCAAAACATGAGGCTACTTTAGGCATCATAACCGGGTTAAGAGGGTTTTTAGTTTTTATATATGTATTTTGAAAATTCAAATTATGGTGAGTAAATGTAGTGTTGNGTTAGAATTAATGTTACCCGATAATTACCTGAAACGAAATATTAGCACGCCCATGGCCGGTTCTTATCTCGGGGTTTTATTACTCTCTTTCATTTCCAAACAGACTATACAAAATTTTGATTTTTTTTTTCGATATTTGATTTGATATTTAAAATAATTCTAATTTAAATAATGAAAACATTAAACAATCAACTACTTATTAGTATTTATTTTAAAATGAAAAGTTGCATTGCGAAATTCGATTCCACAAAACTACCACAAGGAGGCTCATTTTCTTTGTGAGACATTATTTTATTGTAACCGTAACACAAGCAGCAGTAAAAGTAGCGTCAGCGTTGCTGTCGTTCAAATTGACCACGTGGACAACCTTTTATAAAGAAATACACCAAGAAAACTTTGTACCGTATTTTCTTCCAAGCGGACGCAACCCCAAAGATGCAGCTTCGGGTGCTAGTAGTCGAATATTTTCTACAAAATTGGAAACTGATTAAAACTAAAAGTTTGGTGTAGATGATGTTAAAAGAGAATCTTCAATTTTTTAATGAAACTAAGGATTTGCCTTCAAAACTTGACAAATCAGTGACGTACCATTTTTTTCTCAACAAATATATCGTTACGTACCCTTTCTAGTGCCAAATTTGGAACGTAAGGATCACCCTGTATATCTACTTAGAAATCAAAGGAATAAGCCAGTCATTTTAGGTATTAAGTCTAGTTTTATCTAATAATTTTACGCATTTGTTCTGTTTGACATAATTGTTTTAAAAGTAAACTAAAATTTATATTCTGGGAATAGTTTCTATTTACCTTTACGTTGTTATGAACCGAATAGGCAGTTATTTTGCAAACCAACTACAACACGTATTTTTTTTTATTCTGAAGATTTTTTTTTGCGTGAAAAAGGACTTGCTCTATACTTTAAATCCAACCCGCCACCTCTCAAGAATTTCAAACAGAAACTTGTTGGGTGGCACTTCTCTCTTGAGTATTTTCGTGTTTTTTTTTTAATTTATGAGCACCCTGTATATCTAATCTAAGATGTTTGTATGACAGTCTCATTTTTACGAGGAGCAGAACTTTTTGTAGAGTAACATTTTTCGATAAAGTCAAAGTTTTTTCTCTTGTCAACTCCATCCGTGGACACACTGTATATACATTATTAATAAACTTTATTGTACTTAAATTCTCAAATTTTTACTAAATTATTTTATTAAAAAGGTAAAAAAAATTAAAAAATCTAATTTTTTTCTTTCTTTAAAATTGTTTATTAACGATTTTTTGCATAAAATTGTCCTTTTCCATTTTTTAAATAAGCCATTTCGATGAGAAATTCAATTCTCTACAAAATTTTTCCTATGAACTATACCGAAATTTTGCTTCGTTTTCGTGCTATATTTAAAAAACTGCAAAAGTGCATTTTCACCCCTATCTTCAATTTCAACCCTCTAATTTAATAGCACCCCGCGGTTTTTTAATTTTTAATGACCCTTCGAACAAGTCATGTCATGAACATCCTTGAACGTCTTATTTCCTTCCTTTTTTTGCAAAAAATAAGAATTAAAACATATAAGGGTAAACGCGACGGAAATCGAAAAATTGGCTAAATTTGAGCGAGCATATATCAGTCAATTTTCATCCAAAAATACTTTACAACCTCTTGTTTTTAAGGAAATTTAACTACTTTTTTTTCTATGAAACAATGCCTATACCTATCTTTACACAAACAAAAACTAGAGGCAAAAAAGTAAAAAAAAACAGAAAATCGTATTTTTTGCTTTTTTCGAATTGTTTATTAACGATTTTTTTGCATAAAATTTTCCTTTTAAATTTTTTAAATAAGCTATTTCCATGGGAAATTCAATTCTCTAAATAATTTTTCCTATGGACTATAGCGAAATTTTGCTTCGTTTTCGTGCTATAATTAAAAAACTGAAAGGGGTGCATTTTCACCCCTATCTCCAATTTCCACCCTTTAATTGAATAGCACTCGGCGGTTTTTTCATCTAAAATGACCCTTTGATCCCTGTTTTTTTTTTGGATATATTCAATAGCCTATTGGTACACTCATACCACGTAATAAATTTGGTTCGTCTAAGTTCAAGTATAAATGAGATTTTTTCGAAATTTGAAACCCCTCTTTCAAGGCTTCTTATGCGAAACACCCTGTATATTTATCTAAATTTAAATTCGGTGTTATGCTCAACATAGCTTGGAAACGGCGTTTCTCTTCACAGTTAAGGTAATTAAATTCTGGAATCGGTATTAGGTACATTTTCAGGGGCTGTCACTCAAACGAGTGGAAAAAAACAATAATATCTTTCGTCCGACCAAAATTGACAAACGTCAAGCGATGCGTCTGTTTAATTATCGTAGATAATTGTAAGGAAAATTAAAATCCGTGCTCGTGACTCTATTAATTAGCTGACAAAAAAATATCCGTACAATTACATACGTCCAAATTTAAAAAATTATTAGGAATAATTATATTTTATCGCTTTTTCACGTTTCAGTTTATATCACTAATTGGTTATAACATTGTATAAGTACATATTAATAATAATATGTACTTATACAATGGTTATACTTATATCAAACAATGTTTTTACAAGCCCATGTAACTTCACGGTTTATTTTCAAGTCTGAAAAATTAATAGATATGCGGAGCGTTTTTTTAATTGCACTTTAGTCCAGTCGAGGCCCACAACATTGTCATTTTCCATAAACCCCAAATTTTTTTCACAAATAGGCTACAAATATGTCAATAAAATGTACGAGCGTCGCATAATAAGGAGAAAATGTTATTAACGATTTGATACAAAAAGAAAAAAACTACAAAACTATTTCCTTACCAGTGTCCTAAAGGTTTTTCACTCAACGTTTTGTATCACAAACCGCCACATATTGAGTCGCTGGCACAGCAACTTTCCTTTCTTTAAGTATTTTCACTTTTCTATGAAAGTGGACGAATCGGACGCGGGTTTACCGTCGCGAAGAATGTAAACAAAATGTGAATCATGGTAGAATTTGCGATTGCTTATGCATAGGTGTAGAGACTGTAGAGGAAGATCCCCAGGTTTATTAGAAAGTTACGACAAAGAGCGACGCTCTGGAAGTTTCTTGCAAGCAAATACGAAGCAAGTATTCTTAAAACCTTCATATTATAGAAGGAATATACATATATAAGGGTTTTTTGTTGTATGAATGTGGGGTCTTAGGACAGCCCTGTCCAGCTACAGCGTGTCGAAAATTAAAAAAAAAATCAGTTTTTAATTTTTAATTTCTAATCCGCTTGAGGTAATTTAACCAAATTCGGTGTGAATATTTAGTATGACAGTAGGTATGAAACAAAAAATTACCAGCTTCAGAAACTTACCAGTGGCGGAGGTGTGGGTATCATCGATCATTATTTGCCAAAAAAATATATCACCGTGTATATTACAAATAAAATAGGTCATCTTATGCGCCGTTGCATTATCTTCACTTTTTGTTTAATTACATTTTTTTGTATTCCAAATAGATTAACAACAAAATTTATCTTTAGCCACAGAATACGCCTATGGATTTTGAGCTCTACTTAAGAAACACCCTGTATAAAATATATCCCCCTTTTCGAACCATAAAATATCCATCGCCCGCCTCTGTACGTTAAACTTAAGCTTATGAAAAAAGTGGTGGTTTTAAGTACCTAAAAATATACAGGGTGGTCCGAATTTTATGCAGGAAACTTCGAGGGAAGATAGACCTCTTTAAAATAATGTGTTTGCCTTATAAACATAGGTCTGGAACAGCACCGTTTTAGAGATACAGGGTGTTGAAGTTGTCAAAAAAAATGATGTTTTGTTAATATCTCCGGAATCTATTAACCAATCTCAATAAAATTTGGTACATATAATGTATGATAGTAGGCCTTATATTCCCTGAAATATGGGTTTTAAAGGTTCAACCAGTGGTGTACAACTGGACAGGGGTCACCCCTTTTTTTACAAAAAAATCTACGCCACTGCATTTTTTACATGTCATTGTACCTGATTTATATTTTAATGCACAAAATACGTAA